TCCACACTTCTGCATCATGAGCTGGTAATTCTTGTGAAGCTTTCAATGGAGTACTGTCTAGTTTAAAACTCTCTAGTGTTTTCATTATATCTTTCACATGCTTAGCTTCCACACTTATCTCCTGCCAAACCTGACAAAAAAATCCAAAAAACCAGTAGATTAATCACATTGCAAATGAGTATGTAACAGTCTTCTGCTCAAGCCCATGTAAAGCCTGGATTCCACCAGGTTTCACAAGCTACCTGATTCTACTTCAATAAATAACACATCAGATATGAAGAAGGTTTCTTTACCTTCTTCAGCACATTTAAAGAATGAACAATTATATTTTTTGATACCAAAAAGACTTTTGATAAATTTTGCATATTAAACACAAATTACAGAAAAGAATGTAACCTAATGGACTGAAAATCAGTTAGAAAAAAAAGATGGTTTGTGTTAAGGATAAATTGTTGTGGTAGTCACAACTCAGTTTCTATTATGGATATATAAGTCACACTACTAAAACAATGATGAGAGGGAAACAAGATTATTCAAAATTATACAATAACATAACAGAAGCATTCAACAGCAAGAGGCTGACAAGCCAGTCAGTGCCCTGGCTCCCCAGGGTTGTGCTCCATTTGCCTGTTTTGTCACTGTTGGAAGTCATAAAGACAACTTAAATCCATAAAACAGTGAAAAAGCCTATATATAGCAGTGCTACAGTTTATCAGAGAATGGTGCGTTTTACACTTTTGTCTTTGTCTACCATAAGATTAGTAAATTTTTGCCGCTTTAATGCTTTTCCCTCAAAATGTCCCAGAAAAGTGCTATTTACCTGTTGCCATTTCTGTTGCAGATTCGTATCTCTGACTGAGTAGAGGTACTTATTAATTTGGTCAAGAACTCCCTGGTAGTAGACCATTGCAGAATCATAATTTCCCAGTAAAGCATATTCACGAGCCAGCTTTACATTCTCAGTGATCATAACAAGGCTCATGTTCAACATGAAGCTGAAAAAAACAGAAAATATTAAGGAAAAAATAATAATCCCAGGACTGGAACTAATTTTTACAACCATTTTTATATGCTTATTACATAATTTTTGCAACAATTTTTATATGCTTATTACCTCATCTGGCATATCAAAATATAGAAGATGGAAATATAATTATTAGAAAAAGGTCATAGACCAAATGCCATCCACTTAGAGAAATAATTGTTTCTCTATTACTAGAAATTAAACTCTTCACTTCAAAAAATTGTTTCATGCAACAAAGATTCTGTTGAAAAGCATATACAAGTTATGCAGATTAAAACGCACTGTTGCAAGCCACAACTGCACGCTGTCCTTCCCTTTTTATTGTATTGTAAGACTGATACTTTACAGTTAGCACTACAACATCATCCATACTATAATGGCCTGTGGTTTAAAAAAATCCCCAACATGCAATACAAGAAATCAAAGCTCTTCTTCCAGATGCATTAAGATTGTTTTGTTTTTTTTTACCTTAAGATTCCATGCATACAAGTTTAGCAGTCTGATTCTGCCTTGTAGGGAACACTTTTTTTCCATTTATTTGCTTTTACAGTTCTTCAGTTTTCTATGTTTCTTTGACACAAATATTCAACTTCCATGAATCACCTTCCTATCGCCTTCATTTTTACACTTAAAAAGAGACTCTTAAAAATGCTGAGGCTGCCAAGTTGTCACTGAAAGGTAAGGAAAGGCCACAATTAAACACGTAGCGTGTGGCTACGCACTTTTTTTCACTTATTGTTGAAACCAATCTACTTTTCCCCACCAGTAGTTTCTGTTTTCTTGGTTGTTTTGGGGGGGAGTTTTTGAGCAAACATTATGGACTGTGACCACTTCCACTTTGTAGCATTAGCAGAACCTGTGCTCTTAGATTAGAATAGCACAGAATTATTGTTTATACAAATACAATATGTAGAAGCAGTAGACATTCCTTCCAGTCCAGTCACTGTCCATATAGCAGTCATCCTCTGTTCTTATCTACTACTTACACATCCCACCCCCTTCTTGCACACCAAGAACTGCCCCATTCTCCTCCTAGTTTCCTAGAACCAAGCACAGAAAACACAAAAATAAGCAAACAAACATGCCTGCAGAGTCGTCTTGCTCTCATTTCAGTGCCTGCATCCAGTACCAGTAAGAGGCAATTGCAGACAAGCAATTACAGCTAAGCCCTGGGATGAAGCACACTTGATACAGATCAACTATTTAAAGAATGTAAGAGGTACTAAACTCACATGCGCAATAAACAGACTTAAGACTGAACACATTTCAAGACCGGGTCATGGTCAAGCTCGGATGCATTGTCATAGGTTTCAGAAGCTTTGCACACACCAGACAATCTATTGCTCAAATATTGGCTCCCCATTATAAAGAGGGGCTGGCTAAGCACAAATAAAACATTTTAAGACTTCCAATCCTTTTTCTGTCTCCTTCCCAAGCAGCTTTATGCACAGACACAAAGCTGATCCATTTCCAAGCCAACATCTTCTTTTTCCTTCCTTGCTCTTCCTTCGCCAGCTCCCCTTAAAGCAGGTAGCTGCTGTGTAAAGTTGCAGCCCAACTGCAACAGACCTGTGACAGCCCACACCTATGCATGCAGAAGCAACCTGTGGTGTTGAGTCTGGAAACCTGCTATCATAAGAACACACACTATGTAATCTTGCTGGGGCCAGAGACTTGCTGAGCTGGCCAAAACAATGTCTACAAGCTGACACAGTTAATGTGACCAGTAACTACAAAGACTGCCATATGCCAGCCTAATTAGGCTTTGGAGACACTGTTTGACTTGGGAGTTTTGTTGGTTTTTATCTCAGGAGAAAGAGCCTGAAGATGTCTGTCAACTGCTCCATGGATCATCACACAGATATTACCAGAGTTTTCCCTGCTATATTTAGGATCAAGCTTTTCCACTCCTGCTCATCCTACCAGATACACCTGTTTGCCTGTCCTGAGAATTCAAACTGATGACTAACACTACTGAAATCACAAGTTGAGCAAGATGCTAATAAACATTTTAAAAATCAAGTAATAGCAAGTTACTACAGACAAACTAGATTTTCAAACACAGAGATAAGTCATAGATTACTTTTTTTTTATACTGAGTGCTGTAGAGCAATCCAAGCAGAACAGCAATTCTGTCTAAATATCCAAGAGAAAAAAAAAATAATAAAAAAGCTTGTAAGAGTAGTTTTCATCTGGAAATGTGAAGATAGCAGGAATTAAAATGACAGTATTGCATGTAAAAAAAAGTATATGTGATTTTGAGGTGACAGAAGACAGAGAAAGAAGGACAGAAAGGAGAAACAGATACAGAAGAAGAATGAACTAAGAGCTCATCCAGGAGGAAAAGTGTTCCAAATTAAATTCTTACATGTATGCTGCTTCCAACATAACCAAAAGTAGTAATTCCAATTAAGACCCAGGAATCCACCTGTTCTGTCAGTGGTACTGAAAATGCCAGAGAATTTAGTTTAAACTAGGCAATCCATTTAATGTGTTGCTTCATGTTGAGTCATAAAAACAGAAGAGCTTGAAGTGGCTTCCAAACACAAGGCTCTTGTGTACAAGTGGGGCAGAAAAAGCTGCTGACCCTGCTTACATCTGAACACACCACTGCTGCTGCTGCCTGAATCCGGACAGTGTCAGAGCTCATACACTGATGCGAGTCCTTGAGCCTTCCTGCACCTGTAACTGAAGATGTTGAAGGAGTTCTAAGATGGGAAAAACGGAGCTAGAGTACTAACCTGAACCCAGATAAAAGTTTGTAGCAGAAAGTCATAGCTGACTGTGACAGCTCAGAGTTGGGTGCAAGATGTGCAGGAGGCATGCCTATGCACAAATCTCAGTTATACCAGACCTCAAGGAATTAAAAAAACACCAACAACAAAACACCATTGAACTACAAAACTAATCCTGCACCACTGAATATTCTTGAAGTATTTACAAATACCTAGTACTATCACCTAACAGGATGTCAGAGCAGCAGGGCTGCACTTATCAGCTATGACCTTTCCATGAATCACACCCAGTGAAATTATCTGTGTTCAACAGCAACTGAAACAGTAATGAGCTTGTAAAGTTTACAGTGAACAGGATATAAGGAAAACAACCTAAGCACTTGGTCCTGCAAGTTTAATTCTACACTGTATACAAACACACACACTTCACAAGGAGAATACTCCCACTCTTCACAAAATGTGAGTACATATGATTCCCTGAAATTAACACAATAGAAGCCCATGGAATTAAGCTATCTCTAGTAACAGAATAAGTATTATTGTTTGCTGCAAGAACCTAAAATACTTCTAGAGTTTGGAACAGCCAAAAGCAGTGGGATTGAAACCTAACAAAGGTCTGAGATACCTACAACTTCTGAGAATGAGGCTTCGGAACTTATTTTTCTATTTTGTTTCAGTGACAACAGGCTGACAATCACCAAGAAAACACTGGGGATACATTTTTCCACAGTGACTTTAAGGAATTCGCAGAATGAAGTACTTTAAGTAATTTCTGCTTGCATTCATACATTGGAATTTGGGAAGCTGTAACCAAACACAATAGCAACCCTGTTTGGAAAAGAAATCCCCATCAGCTTAAAAATAAATAATTAAATAAAAAAAAAGTAGAGATGGACATGCAGATGTTGGGAGGGAGGATTAAAGTTGTGGTCCGTCTGTTACCACAGAGGGCCCATCAGCCACCCTGCGGACTCAGGGAGCTGCACAAGCCTTACAAGGAAAATACTTGCAAAGAGTCTTTCAGTCCAGCCTTAATGTTTGGACTAAGCCAACGCCTGAATTTTGGCAGAGTGTGCATGTTTCCATTATTTCAGCCTTCTACACAGGCTCTGACATCAAAGCACATAGGTAAAATTCAGAAAGTTCTCTCAGCAAGCCATAAGAGAGAAAAAACCACAAAAACCCCGAAGTACCAGCTTTCAGCAATCGGTTTTTACTGATGCCACGGTCCCCCGCACCCCTCCCGGCCTCACCACTCTCTTCACATCCTCTCCCAGCAGCGTCTGGTACCAACAAGCAGTTGTGCTAATTACTCGGGAGATAGAAGAGCTGCCAGACGTAGTAGATACTAAACTGGTTCTCATCCACTCGCTGTATTTAACAGTAACGGCAGCAAGGAAAAGCCACCAGCAACCACGAACGTGAGCGCACTCGGCTATTTATGTAAAAAAATTAAAATAATTAGATACACCGTGGGCAGGTGATTTTATGTTTTCAAGGCTACGCCTTGCAAGGGAGTTAAAAATGAAATCACGTTATTTACTCCTGATTTCACAGGGCCTGGCACTGTTTTATAGGGTAAAGGTTAACCAGCCGGTT